TCTCGCTCCTCTGTTAACAATGTTGCTTCTGTTGAGTGTCAGAAAAAAGTCTCTATTTCTTTCCATCACTTCAATTTGTTGTCCATTTAATTACCCCATTTTGTGAAAATGCTTACCCAACATACCAAATACAAAAATGTAGAGGAAAAAAAATTAACATAAAAAGCTTCAAAACAGTGGATATCAGTCAGTCATACCAGCTGTTTGACACTGAGTGCATCTACACATGCAGTTAATGTGGCGTGATAAACTCCAGTGAACTTTGAGCCAGATGGAGTACAATGTTCCTGGGTGCAGCATCTACACACGTGCCCAGGACAGCATCACTTTGAGCCAGGGTGGAGTAGGCCCAAGCTGCTGGCAGGCTCAGGGGTCAGCCCCGGGTCCTGGTTGGTGGCGTAGGTGGCAGTGAGGCTGGCTGGGGCACAGGAGCGCCAAACAGGCAGAGCTGCGTGGCTACGTGGCAGGCAGGATTCTGGCCCCCTGCTCCATGGGCTGACTGGGTGCAATTTTCACCAGTGGTCACTTTCTACACAAGCGTTTGATTGCAGTTAATTACTCTGCCATAACACAGCACTGTCCCCAACAGTACTATCTTCTGGTGGAGTTAATTAGTTTACTACGCCCTAATACTGATACATATGTAGACGATGACACTTCACTGCAGAGCTAAGTAAAGTGCACATGTAGATACACCTACTGACGATTACAACTGGCCCTGAACCAGTATAACAAAAACATTTGGGTCTGCATTAAGCTTGTTGTTGACTGGTGTTATCAAACATAATCTTTTATTTTTTAATGAGCCACATATTAATTTTTAAATAAAAAAAGTTTAGATGGAAACCTATCTGACTTTATGGTCAACACAAACTCCAGGCTCAATGAAGATGATATGGAAGTATGAGACAGGGTCACAAGATACCTGATATCTAATCTTAGTTCTGCCTCTAATTCTCTGTGCGGTTCTAGGCTAGTCATATGTTTTTTGTACCCTTCTTACTTATTTATTGCCATAATGTCTCAAGGTTTCAAGGTTTGTTATTTCAATGCAGTCTTACATATAGGAACACATCCTCTTTAAAACCAGCGTATGAAACAGGTTGTCACCAAAACCCCAAACCAAGCCCATGAGTAAGCCACACACAATTGCTACTGCGGCCTGAATCTGCAGCCCCTGGTCAGAACTTGCTTCATCAAGTATGAGTCATGTGGAGCTTCTTGAATGGGCTGTGGTAAAGTCAGACCTCACTTCATGTGATTTTGGTTACAAATAGAAGTTCTGCATGGGCATATCCAGCACTAGGGAAGCAGCAGAGGAGGGAAAATAATAGAGGAGTCTGCAGAATTTCATCCCATGATGAGCCAAGAATTTTAAAGAACAAAAACAAGCAGCTTTCCTCCTCCTACACAAAGCAACTATGGCAAGTCTCTCCATCTTTCCTACTTCTCACTCTCCATCTTTCCTACTTTCCTTCAGGACACAAGACCCTGAGCAGCACCTTTAGAACAACCCCCCAGCCTATGAATTGGTACTATCACTTCCTCCTCTGCTCAGGAATAGTATGGGCCACCAATGTGTCAAAAAAGGCCCATTATCTAGTCAACATTTTCACCATTAAATTAAGCTAAATTGTATTATGTCCATGTAATAAGAGCAGGTAAGGAGGAAGAGTGGCTTGGGAATCCCAGTCCCAAAGAAATGCCCAGACAAATTGGATTTCCTGTTCCAAAATGGAGCAAGAACAGGACAGTAGTCCCACATCTCACTGTCCTTCCCTCCCCACTCAAGGAGATATGTTCTGTGTGCCATTTAGCAATGAGTTTTCAGTAAAGCATCCCAATTAACTGTGTAGTTTTCGCCACCTTGTGAACATGTAACGCTAACGTAAGACTTAATAAATATGAAGTGGATTAAGGATAAAATATGAAAGTTTTACAAAAAATCTGCCCAGAGATTGGATGGCAAAGAAGGGAAGAAGAACATTAATCACCTTTGGGGCCATCACAAAGACCTTACTTACAATGCAACCTCCAAAACAGAGCAAGACAACACAGATATTCATTATGGAACACTGAAACATTAGTTTAAGAGAAGTCTTTAGAGATAATATAACGACATCAGTAAAAGACCTTCTGTCAAAACTACACAAGAACAAATATGGCTACCACCATCCATTACCACATTGCATTTTAAAATTAAATCTATAATAATGGAAAGGATTTTAAGACTCCAGACAAAATTCCAGCTAATGGAAGGGAGCTTTATTTTTCTAAGCATCAGAATGGCCTTAAAGACACTAGTTCCATGACATCAGTTGAGTATCATTATCTTTGACTGCAAGAGCCAATGACAGAACTCCTTCCCTGCAAAAAGTTGGACAGAAGCTTTTCTTCCAATTCCACGTTAAAGAAACAAAAACCCAGAAGTCAAGTAACCAGCTACAACCATGCCTTCTGATTACTAAAGGAGGTTTAGACAAGTTATTATTATCCATCCTTCTGGATAACAAACAACAAAGGATCTTGTGTTCCTCCACACAGGTAACTAGATTTATCGTGATACCAGACACATGTGGTCTCCCCTACAGCTTTAGTCCAATGCCTTCAAACAGTAGTCAGAGAATGAAAGACGCTTCTATTAGTTTAGATCAAAACCTTTTGTTCGACAGTAAATTTTTCAAATGGCAATAACATCCAGCACACACTTGGAAGATTCAATGCCTAACGACATTCTACCACTTGACTATATTGTACAGAAGCACAGGCTTGAAACACCATCTTGTTAAAAGAGCAATGAACAAGATGCATGGAACTCCAAAAACAGCATATGTAGAAAGTGCAGTTGCAGGAAGAGAGTATAAAAAATTAGCTCAGCTACTTGATGATCACAGCAGAACACTTCCCCATGGCCCACTACACATACCAATCCTAAGGCATGATGTTTTTTTGTTTCTGGAGATGTCACAAAACCAAGGGAAATGTTTAAAATGTGGAAATAGGACTCAGGTGCCCAAAGTAAAGCATCTGTCACTGAGAAAGCACTGCTGTGCGTTTCCTTGAAAGTCTTACACCAAATTTGGGGAATTCTCACAAGACAGCCATTCAGCCAAGAAGACACTATGGCTGCCTATACATGTGCTGGTTCATGTTCTAATTAAAACACTCCAGCATGGCCTCACCATCACGTGTTTAAGCCCCCGCAGGTTTAACAAAGGCTGCTGGGGCACTTCAACTAAATCTCGTTGAATGAAGCTTAGATAAAGTGTCCTGTGGCCATTTTTAAACCTGCAGGGGCTTAATATATGTGACAGTGAGGTGTTTTAATAAGAGTGGATCTCCAGGAACCATTCTAATTAGAACGCCACCCCCCTCCCGCCCAAGCACGTATATAGGCAGCCTAAAATGCCAGACATCACCTAGAAATTCCAACAACGAGTTAAAAAATATAGTTACTTCAAGTGACGTACAGCCCCCTTCCCTCTCCCTCCATGCCAGTTTTTGCAGTTATACAGTTGCATTTTCCTATTCAGTTTGAAACTTTTTCCTCTCCCCTCTACTGCCCTTTTAAAATGGGAAGTCACTGTGTCATCTGTTTCACCATTTTTCCTCCATGTAGTACTGGGGAATGTACAAAATAAACTAGTAAAGTATTTTTTCCATGTGACATTACAGTTCTAATAAGCTTGGGTGTTACTTTTAACACTAGCAACATTCAGACAGAAGTTAGGTATTTACACATGACCCAAGAACACAATGTTTCCGAGGTCCTGAGGAACTAGAAAAGAGATGTCATGTTATCTTAGCATATGCCTCAAAAACCTGAGATTCTTCTATTTCGAAACATGCTGTAAGACCGCCCACTGGCTTCTCGCCTATGGTTAACTGAATGGTCTCTTGGCTTCAGGGTGCATATGAGGAGGTGTCACAGGAAAACTATTTTCTAAGGAAATGGATGAAAAGCTCTCAAGCAGTGAGACACAAAACCAACAGTAAAATAGGACACCTCCTATTGACATCAGTAGATTGTGGATCAGATCCTATCTAACGGGTTTTTACAGAGCCTGTCACCAGATTCATTTAACATACTTCACTAATGAGGTTAAGTGCGTGCAATGTACCTTTTTAAAGAGAAAGAAACTGAGACAAGGGAGAAAAAATTGCCCAGCCACAAGCTCAGTAAATATAAAAGAAAAAAAGTTAGAATCCTGATCTCGTAACTCCCCGCGCTGTCCCAGCCACTGAGTCGCTTTCAAAGTACAACATGCTGAATGATAGGAAAACCAGACTAAAGACCTCACACTAAAAGACTAAGGCATTAATTTCTAAGGGCTTCATGTTCAGTAATTAAAAGCACAATTACTAAGCACCCAGAAAGATGCAGGAATTACAGACAAGCGTGGGATTATCTCAAATATGCCTATATGGACAACATGATGTAAAGTGTGATCCTATCAGAAGTCAAGAGACTCAAATTTCTTGGTTTTTTTCAGTGAAGCCATGACATTTTGCTTCAATGAATCATGCAAGACAGCACCAACAGAGACAACAGCTCATCCCAGTTCCACAACATAGCTCTCCCTACCTCTGCAATGCTCACAACCCCATCTACAGGCTGCTGAATTAACTACTATGCCTTAGAAACCATCCTATTAGGAAACTAGCAAAAGTTGCTCTATTTACACTGTTTACTGGCTGGACTGCAAAGCAGCATGAGCTAGGGCACAAATACCAGTGTGTCTCTTCTGGATAAGTTCTGCTTGCAGAATTATTTAAGAAATGAAGAGAGGTGTAGTGGGAAGGGGGAAATCAGGGATTTCTGTACACTGAAACTTTTGGTACAATGAGCCGGCCAAGCAAGCAGCCAGATAGTCTGAATCAAGCCTCCCTGTACGGAGGTTTCTCAGTCTTTGAACAAGAATAATGAGAAAAACACAAAGATTGCTTTACAACAGAAAAAGAAGATGGGCTAGAAGAGTTAATGAACAAATTGGACTTACCCCAAACTGATGATTTCTGTAGGATATCAGCACATTTCTGACCTTCTCTAGAAAGAAGCACAATTAGAGTTTAAACAGGCAACAAGCTAACATTTAAGTGCTGCTCAATTCACACTCAATGCATATGGCATTAAAATGCAAAAAGACCATTCATGTGCAGCTGAGCCACCCTTTGATTACTCTACACTACCAGTCTGCAGTCTCTTCAAATAATACAGGAGTTGCCAATGGGATTTGGACCAATGGTTCACATGACCCATTATTTTGTTTCCAGTGACTGAACTGAGATGCTTCAAAGGAAAGTGCAAGAAAACCTTTAGATTGGGGTGCATACTACATAGCATGGCACCTTAGTGAGTTGGCCGTATTGCATTCCTGATCTGCATCTACCTGGGAACAGGAGCAGGACCAGAAGCCATGACTGCATCCAATGGCACAAACTCCTGTGACAGGTAAGGTAGTGGGCAGTGACCGGGGGCAAGGCCGGAGGAGACCATCTGTTTTAATCTGTGAAAACAGCAGAATCCCCCAGGGATACCCTGTAATTGTTGTGATGACATTACAGAAGTATAATGCTGATGACAACCCTCCATGGAAAAATGTAAGTTGTAAGAAGCTCTCAACAGAGTTTGAGTTGTGCACCCTGCTGTAGATGGGTTCTGAAATAGTGGCCCCATACAAGGTGTTTCCTCGCAACTCAACTATTTAGTGATTGACTTATGAAACCAAGCAGGAACACAGGCTGCAGTTACGGGCTCACCTGCATGAATGTATAGCAGGGGATAGAATTAATATGGAAACTGAGACCAACCCCTGAACTTATTGAAGGGTTAGCTCAGGTTTCAGCCAAGTGTTAACAGACATTACAGCTATGTCACAGGGATGCCCACTGATGAAAATCCAAGGAGTTGATATGAAAAATGTTAGCTCCTCCAAAAATCATACAAGCCTAGAACAGCTATACTACTATCTAAGACAGGGATGGGTGAAATATGGGCCATGATCAGGATCCAGACCACCAGGTGATTGGATCTGGCCAGTGGCTGCCCCCACAGTACTCCACAGGAGACCATGCCCTGCCTACTCATGGTGTGGCAGCCTGCACTGGGCTCCTGATGGCATCCAACAACCTGGGCCCTGACCAGCTTCTGGTGGGGCTGTTCCCTCTGGGCAAGCAGCTTCAGCCAGGCGGCTCCTACCCTAGTGCGCAAGGCTCTGGCTTCAGCTCCCAGCTGCCAGTCAAAGGCGGGCGGGATCTGGAGCTGCAGCTCTGTGTGCCCATTGAGAGCAGCACAGCGTGGTGTGATGTAGCAGAAGCAGGAGGAGGAGCTGCTGCTGGAGGTGGGGGTTGCAAAACAGGACCCAGCTAGCTGCAGCTGCACCACGAACAGCCCAGTGGAAGCTGCTCCTGCCTCTGCTGCACCATGCCACGCTGTTCTGGGTGAACTGGAGAGCAACTTCAACAGGGCAACTCCTGCCCCTGCACCAACTTCAGCTCCTGGCCACCTTCCTGGGAGTTGGAGCCTAAGCCAACTGTGCACTGGGCCAGGAGCCCGGCTGAAGCTGCACGCTTGGAGCAGCACAGCACATGCAGCGCTGCAGGAGGCAAGAACAGGAGCAGGAGCCGCCACTGGAGGTGGAGGACACAAAGCAGCACCCAGCCCCACACTGGGCACCAGTGTGTGTGTGGCATGGGCTGCCACGGTACAAGTGGACAGGGCTCAGCCCCAAGTGGAGCACCAAAGGAACAGCGCACACTGCACCGCCTGGGCGACCTCTGCTGAAAGCACCCTCCTCTCCCCACCCCGCACACACAGCAGGCTCCCAGGACCTAGCACCCAGGCAGCCCCCCTCCACAGACACACACACATACCCCCCTAAAATCCTCCCTATACACACACCCCACACCCCAGAGAGCAAGGGCATGCCTGAGGGCAGCCTCTCCTGCCCTTCTCACTTTTGAACACTGCTCCTCACCCACCCACAGCCCCATTGAGTTTTGGTGAGCTGCTGGACAGGGACAGGGCGTGATGACTTGACATGTGACAGCTCATCAACACACCCTATGTGGCCCTCAGGTGCAAATAATTACCCACCCCTGATCTAAGAGAAAGAAGAAATTTTATCAACTTGCTTAGACAGCTTTGAGCATTCGCCACAAAAGCAGCACACCAATTGATCTCTCACTCATCTCAAACACCCACCATGAAACTCCTCGTCTTCCAGGTAACCTTGGGGTTGCAGGTCCTGAGCCTCCTCTGTGTCACTGTCCATCTCTGTCTCTGTTGCTGCTGTCATCTCTGCCTCTTCATCCTGCTCTTCTTCACATTCTCCAGACAGATTATTGCCCAGCTGGCAGCTCCAGTATGTTCTTCGGAGCCACTCCAACACAACATCACATCCTGCAGGTGAACAGCAAGACACATTTGCTCTCTCCTCATAGAACAGAAATTCACCATTCATTAAAATCCATTAGAAACATTTTGTAAATTGGCATTAGCAACCAAGTTCCTCTATGATTAAAAGCACCCCATTAATTAAAAGTGAGAAGACTACAAAGGAAGGAACATGTGTGTGATGGGGACATTAGACCAATTCCCATTCTGGGGGATTGTGTCACATGCAGGCGTGGAGCATGGGCTTTTGTGCATTCTTGCACCTCACTGTATTAGGTAGAGTCAACTGAAATTTCAGTCCCAAAAGTGGAAGTTTCAGAAAGTTAACTAGTGATTTTTACCAACAGGATGGAAACAGTCTGAACAGTGAATTACCAAAATAAGGTGGAGCAGCCCAGCAAAGATCTCCATTTCTCCAGCCACTCTCTCACTACTAGCCATATGTCAAATGCCATTACCCAATCCAACATGGATTCCAGCTGAGTTTCTCTGGCATCTCAGTACTAAGACTGAGGCTTATAGGTTCCACAAAATATGTTTAAAAGCCTAAAAATCAGGCCATCTATTCAGAGGTGCTGAATATCCTATTTCGTTACAAGCATTATGAGTTCTCAATACCTCTAAAAAAAAAAATTCTCTCATTTATCAAGGTCCCCCATATAAAATCAGGTGCCAGAATTCCCCCCTCCAAGAAAGATTCAATAACCCCACAAAGCAAGGAAAGGGTTAACCAGAGCCCTAATGGAAAATTAGGCCCCTGTGACAGCTGAAGTCTTCTGACTAATTAATCAGGAATCAGACCCAACCTGCAAGGGAAAGATAAAAAGGAAGGCCCATGCAGTCTGGAGGAAAGTCTGGGCCTGAGAAGCAGTAGCAGGACTTCAGGCTGCCACTATGAGCGGTGATGGCAACAGCTAGCTTGAGGGGCAGATGAAGGATGTGGTATGAGGGCTGGCAAGAATTACCCAGTTGGAAATCTTCACCTCAGGGCCCTGGGCTGGGACTCAGAGAGAACTGGGCCTGGGCTTCCCCAGTCCTGAGATCCTCTGTCCCTGCTACCAGCATAGGGGATTTATAATGCTTGTGTGTTTGTAAGCTAAATGGACGTAGGCTACAGGGGAATCTCAGACCTTCAACCAGGTGAGCAGGATCATCTCTGATAGCATTCCCCCCATTCTTCCCTGCCCCAACCCAGATGTGGAGAAGCCTGATGCTTTCTCTTGGGAAAGAAGCCTTTTGCTGCATCTCATCCCCTAGCTTTTTCTTTCTTTGTCCCCATTCTTTCTCCTGCCACCCTTCTATCATGGACATGCCAATCGTTTCCACCTGGCTGGACTCTCCCCGCAGCCTCCCCTTGGAGGAACCACTTTCCTCTATCACCTGCTACTATGTGGGCAGCAGACTCTGGTATTACAGCACCACCTAGTGGACCCACAAGAAGAGAGCATCTCAGAGTAAGATGACTCCCAGAATCAGGAAGCAGATGTGCTGTGTGTGTAGGATGAGCATGGATACATGTTTTAGCCATGTTGGTCTACAGGCGAAAAAAAATGCAGAACTTTTGGCAGAGATGATATCTCTTATTAGACGAACTAA